GACCTAATATGTCGTTTCATTTTTGTGAGGTTCAACGACACGGTTGACCTTTTATAGCAAATGGTCGACCTCTTTGGGAAGCGAATAGAATGAAAGGTCGAGTCAAATACCTCATAGGCCGACCATTTTGATTAACTGAGGTCGACCGTATAAGTACGAGGTCTACCGCATGCACACTGTATCCGTATGGGATAGGGATTCCAACACCAGAAAGCTAGCCCTAACTTATTTACCACTTAATTCGACCCATTCTCGTCCTAAATATCTATACATATGAATATATGTCACATTCACCGCCACCGAAACTCTGAATTAGGTTTTTTTTTTACGGTTAGAGCTTTTGTGAAGAAGATCTTTTGCGGTTGCTGTTGTACGTGATTCAAGAGGTCGACCATGTGGAAGTTATGAGTCATTGTTATCAATATTTATGACTTATTTTTTTTTTTTTTGATTGAAACGTAATTTATACGAGCAAAAGAACCACCCACATCGACATACATAAGCAAAAAAGACGCAGGGCATAGATTGATTTTCTTGTATTTGGTCGACCGCGAAACCAACACTTGATCTTCATTTTACGTCAAATGATAATGGATAAATGTATACAACACTTCTCTTCTATCTGGTCGACCTTTTTCTGTAAATGGTCGACCATTTTGTTAATTAGCGCCATCAAGTGGTCAACCTATATACCTTTACGGTCGACCATTTTGCTTCTGGCGCCAATGAAAAGAGCGACCGATGTTTTATTGTGGTCGACCAACAATGACAACTTAAACTACAAACGGTCAACCACTACCTTTTAAAGGTCGACCGTGATAAGTCATCAGGGTGCCCACATTAGTGTATTCAGGAACCTTACAAAACTGAAACATCATATTAGGCCGACCTAATCCTATATGAGGTCGACCTAAAAGTGCATGTTACGGTGACATGCATGTCACCATAAGCATACCCAGTGTTATTCTCACCCAAATCCAATTAATTATTATTCATTCAGTACGTGTTTAGCGAAATATGATGGATGAGTGTGTGGCATCTTTTTTGTGAACCATAAAACTTGGTAGGTGGCGTTATATTGTGTCACTAATCTATATTATATAGCAATGCACCTATCTTTTTCTATCTCAAAATCGAAATAATGATTCATTCAAATGATAATTTTTTTTATAAATTTTGATTGACGTACAACGTAAAATTTACGTGAATCATCTAAAAAATATAATAACTATCCAGAATATGTTTTTGTTTAAATGAGATAGATCAATGTAATATTATAAAGGTTGTCAATCCGCTGGTCAACCCGTCGATTGACCCATTTTGGCACTGACCCGGATAGAAAAATGAACCACACATTTCTGTGGGTCGATCCGCTGCAAGATTATCGGGTTGGAGGTCACACGAAATTATTTTCCGGGGCTAAACCAGCGTTAACTCTCAACCCACTTACTCAATCGAGCTAACGACCTAAATTAAATTGTATATTGATTTTCTTGAATCTTGTAAACGGACTAAATCAAACCTGTGACCTTCGCATTATTAGCACGACGCTCTAACTAACTGAGCTAATAGGCCAATGGATGATTCAAACTAGCTCCCACAAGTACTGTACAAAAGTATTGTAATGGTGTAAGTTTGGGGTTAGAGCAACAATCGAATTGTATATTGTTTTTCTTGAATTTTGTAGCACTAATAACAAAACAGTTTGGGGTTAGAGCAACAATCGAATTGTATATTGTTTTTCTTGCCAATGGATGATTCAAACTAGCTCGCACAAGTACTATACAAAAGTATTGTAATGGTGTAAGTTTGGGGTTAGAGCAACAATCGAATTGTATATTGTTTTTCTTGAATTGTAATGGTGTAAGTTTGGGGTTAGAGCAACAATCGAATTGTATATTGTTTTTCTTGAATTTTGTAGCACTAATAACAAAACTATAGAATAAGAATTTTGGAACTAAATTTAAAATTGGCCCATACAGGTCTCGAACCTGTGACCTTCGCGTTATTAGCACGACGCTCTAACCAACTGAGCTAATAGGCCAATTGATGATTTAAATTAGCTCGCACAAGTACTATATAGAAGTATTGGAATGGTGTAATTTAAGTTTGGTGTAGGTTTGCCTTGTCACACTTTTTCGCTCTTCCTTAAAAAGTTGATGGTACTTATTTATCAACCTCAACTATTTATGGCGGCTGTCGCGGTCATTTGGCGGATCTGACGGTCACAATTTTGGGTTATTTTTGAGGACAAATAATTTGGGATCCCAACTTTAATGTGCCAGTTTCACCAGCAATATCAGGAGTGGATTAGTTTTCTAGTTGATCGCGTGGTGCGGTCATCCATCCCACAAGCAAGTTACTTAGGTGGTGGGATCCCTAATTCAGTTATCTATATGTGGGATGGAGCAACTAAGAGTCGGTCACACTCAACAGGGGGAATGATTATCACGAAACAAGAAGGGATGGTCCTTTTGGCGAAAGAGGTGCACTTTGCTGATATTGATGATCCTATGCTACTTGAGCTCCTCGTTCACCGGGAGGCTATTCTCTCGTGTCTGGAGAACGGGTTTACGGAGACGAGATTTGCAGTAGATGCCCAAGTAATCATTAATAAAATAAATCAGGCTGATACCCGGGGTAATCGGGTAGAGGTCATCCCTGGAGGAAGTCATGCGCTATTTGACTATTCACACTGGTAGAGGTGGCAATTGGATCAGATTCGTGGATTCGTGGATTGGATTGGTGGATCAATGGATCAAATGGATTGGATCAAATGGATTGGTGGATTGATCCATGAATCCAAATGACATCCACGGCTTGGACCAAAATGTAATTTTTGAAAAGTTTAGGTACTAAAATGTCATGATGAAAAATTTCAGGTACCAAAATGTAATTTTCCAATATTATTTTTCATATAAAATATAAAATTTAGGTACCAAATGTAAAATATAAAAATATAGGTACCAAATCGTAATTTTTCATTTGAATCCTTGGATTGATCCATGAATCCACCAATCCAATTGGATTTGGATCAAATGGATTGGATTTAAATGTAATTTTCCAATATTATTTTTCATATAAAAATATAAATTTTAGGTACCAAAATGTAAAATATAAAAAATATAGGTACCAAATCGTAATTGGATCAAATGGATTGGATTAGGTGGATAATTTGGTGGATGGATTGGATTCATGAATTTGGATCCTAATTGCCACCTCTACACACTGGGTTTAATGTGCGATATGTAGGTCGGAGTGATAATATGATAGCCCATTTTGTGGCTAGAAAGACCCTTTCATTGTACCCGACTACGTGTCATTTCTTCAATTTTCTGGTATGATTAAATTTCAGTATGTAATAATCTATAGTTGGAATCAATATACATATAATTATCTTTTCTAAAAAAAAGCAAAAGTTTGGAAATGGGCAAGACAGCTGGGACCTCCTGATGCCACAACTTAACCTTCCTAACAACTTTTTTTGGGTCGATGGAATTGAAGAGATAGATTACTACAATAACCCGTACCCCGAATCCGTCAGCCAAGTCCAAGTACCACTCGTACTTGGTCGACGATGCATGGAGATGAAAAGGAATAACAAAAACTTAACTTCCACATCATTTAGCCGGCCAGCTGACTCATCATCGTTGTTATCTTCGATCCATATTTTACAGCACGCAATTGTAATTCAAACTCCCTACATTTTATGTTACCAGATTGAGCGATAACCATTTTAATTATTAGTATTTGGATAACTTGGTTAATGCGGAAATCTCAGCAAGTTTAGACGCAATTCGAGAGAAGTACAATCAAGCGATGATGGCTATCCAAACGAGAAGATTGGAACTAAATTTATGTTTAATTTGCTTTTTTTATTATTTTTTTCCAGATTAGTAGTTTCATAGTTATTTTGGTGTTGTTCTCACTATTAAGAAGATCCACTACTTGAGAGTTTCGAAAAAGCAATTATATAGTCCGGGGAAAAAATTAACATGTAGAATTCCGTCCGGAAAGACACATCTATATAACAATTTGGAGTCTAATCATGTTATAATTTTATCGACCGCAATAAATTCTCGACTTATACCACATATAAGTCAAAACATAAATAATATGAGATGTAACTACCACAATAGATTCACCTATCTAGAGTGGGCCTAATAGCTCCGAGCTAAACATTCTCGAATAAAAAATTTAGATAAATTTACAAGGACTGATGATGAGAGCGCGTCATAAATCCACGGTAGAAATGAAGAAGAAGAGTCATACCATTTTTTTAAAACTTAAAAGGGAAAAAAGAACGTTGGCAGCTGGAAGAGTCAGCTGCGGATGCAAATTGCAAAAGAGTCAGTCGTATGCTAGCATGTTGAAGACATCGACTTTGAAAAGGGCAGATTTCCTTTGCTTTTCCTTTTTCCCCGGGAGACGACTTTGGAGGTAGGTGCAATGCAAGCCTGTAATCCATATTACTTGAAATTCTTTGAGCATTTCTTGGTGTTCTTTTGTTAGTCTCTGTCCAACAGCAAGACAGAGTTACATCACGGGGTTCTGGGTATTGGTCTTGCCGTGCCTACAAAGACAACATAACTTGCTGGCATATTCAGCAGCTGAGCATTGCTACTTAGTCCCCAAGTACAATACCAACTGCACATGTTCCACTTCTGATCATCCGTTTCAGAAGTCTCATTGCCACACAAGAATATCTTCCATAACAACGAAGTAAGAGCAGTGCGAAGTTAAAACTGTCAGTGCCTCGTATTCCTTACTTCTGATAATCTCTGGTACAATGAGCTTCTTATGTAAAGAATGAATATAATGTTAACTTACTCCGGAATGTCTGTCGACCATACAAAGAAACCCCACATCTGAAAAACCAAAATTTCTCAACAGGAAGAAGGCTAGGCATGTAAAACCTCTATACCTATCATGACATAAAAGGGTGAGGAAACTTGAAAAGGGAAAAGAAAGAAAGGGATGTTTTATGTACAATACAGTTACTAGTAATCTATATCGAGGAAGGCTTTATATTGTGTTCCTTGTAGTGCCGCTTGGACTTCCTCCCAGTTCTCAACATGATTAGATAAGGATCCTTTGTGAATCTTCACTTGCCGGCTCTTCAGCTCTCTCTGCGGAACCTTCAGAAAGTCTAGGACTTCATACAGTTTCTGCAAACAAAAGAATAAACGGAAGCGACTTCAGTCTCCCTTGAATCATGCACAGTTTTGGTGTCACATTTGCTGATGAAATGGCTCCCTGCTTACAGTGCGATTCTTTACTATGTCTTCATAGTAAAGAATCATGTGTCTAGTGCTTTTGTAGTACTCCAAGGCTTGCGCAGTTGTATTCTCTACTTGCTTCAGGTTGTCAATCAGCAGGGTTGTGTTGATTAAGGGCTTGTACCTAGCTAGTATCTCTGCCTGAAATGAGATTGTGTCAAATAAAGTATGGAGAAGATGGCCGTCAGTAAAGCAGGAGTGTGGAGTACCTCGTGAGGTGAATGGACATGCGACTTGTGGGTCCCATTCAACAGCTTTGCCTCTCGATCATACTCATTAGCTAGTACGGAAATCATTCGGCGCAGGCGATTTCTCCGGAAGAGGAAGATAGCTGAAACCCCCCTAGTTCTAAAGTACTCCACAACTTCATCAGGATGTTGCATCACACCCTTGATATAAAGAAAATAATGCACGATGAGAAATGTAAAAAAAATGAAAGAATACTGAATATTTTTAAAGGTTAACAGTTCAGCTGTCGACAACAAGTAATTCAACCATACATTAAGGTCAAATTTCACATTCAACATCAATACAAACTTATATACTATCCAACTTAACAGGGTACTGGACCTACTGTCTTGTAGACATACTTCCGAAAACTTGAATCTGCCTAATATTTCACACAATCTCTTGAAACTAACAAGACAATAGTAACCACTCCTATGATACTTACGTGGTGGCATATGTTGCACCCACTACCATCAAAGTAAAACAAGATGGAAAACAGAATCAGTGAACGATCAGAAAGGGAATCTGGTTTGTGTAGGTTAACAAAAGGTGTTAAAGAGGGAACTCAACGCAGGCTCTAGACGTGCAATGTGCCATGTACAAAGAAACAGAACCCGTTCAAAGATTCAAGCATTCAGCTAACTATTTTGCTTTCCTTTACATCTCATCTACCTTTGAGGTTCTCTATTCAAGAAGATACAAGCAATCAGAAAAGCACATTAACCGTTAACACCAGCTGGTTCAGGGCGAATTGGATTGCTCTTCATTAACCTCCATATGGTAAATGCCTTAAAGCTGTTAACTAAGCAACCAGGTCCACTGACTACGAGCAGCCAATGCATTAAACAATCATGTGAACGCCAAGAAGGATGTTCAATCTATGACACTAGTTCAAGCACATTATACGCTAATGTAGTGCAATGAACATTAAGGGCACAAATAGTAGAAGAAAGGGGGTGTAGTGGCTGAAAGTAGGAAATCATAACTTGTTACGTGCAACACTCTCACCTGATTAAGCATCCACTTGAATCCCACTGCAGCCGTGCACTCATTCTTAGAGGCACTACTCAACCAGTCTAAGTTATAGACTCTGTCCAAAGTCTCAACAATGGTCGACACATTTCTCCTCCGTATTTTAACAGAGAAAATCTCTCCATTTGAGCTTATATTAGTATGGTTGTTCAACAAAGTCTCAAACCATCCACTTCCAGACCTCTGCATTGACAAAATTGCAAAATACCGGACAGGGCTGCACTCGCATTCTGCCCTACATGCATCCAAAAAGCCCCATCACTAGAATTCACATTGCTTAGCTTGAACTCAAAGCCAGATAATTTATGATGTGTTCTTTTACCTACTATACATCTTGGGTTTCGGGTAATGCACATATGGTATCTCCCATGGCTCAATATTAGGTACCGGACACAGCTTTTCAACAATCTTGATAATCCCCGGGCTGTTGACACTGACAATACCAACTTGCTTGAGACAGACTGATGATATGTACAGGCTGCAGGCCATTAGAAGCACCACAACAACCATTCTCAAGAGCAATGGGGACTTCTTAGGTGCTTTACCAAGGAAAGAATCCTGCCCAGCATAAATATGACCCATAAGTTAAAGCTTTGCTGAAGCCTACATAACCAGAAAGGCACCTTACACAACCAACCAAGGAGCACTCAGCTCCATAAGCAATACCCAGAAATGAATAAAATACCCAGAAGTGAATAACTCTAAATCTGAAGAAAGGTACAACATTTCAGACGGGGCTTTCCTATTTTTCTAGGAAAGATCCACACTTCACTGCAAACAAACAGAGCCCATAAAATCCTCCATGAAAAGGATTGATGGGAAGTGCTAGAAAGCTGAAAACATAAAACCCGGAAACATTGGAAAAGCAAAGCAATTAGCAACATACAAACCAGATCAGGTAGTATGAAGGCAGACATGCAACCATCTACAAACACTGAATTTAAACTAACAGCACTCAACATCATCAGAAGAAAAGAACAGCACTTGTCAGTACCCATCAATGAAAAAGGCAGCTGAATATTATTAAATAGAAGGCGAGGAGATTGAGATTGAGATTGAGAATGAGAAAAAAGACCTTAGGGAAGCAACATAGATCGTCGTCAGCCATAGCTTTGCAAGGAGGAGCTAGCTCAAAAGGGAAGGGAAAGTAGAGTCATTCGGCAGCTCAGATTCCCTTTTGGTCCGTCGCAGCTGCAGTAGCTCTCTCTCCCTCTTATTTAAAACTTGAAAAAACAAGAATTTCCCAAAAGGAAAACAGAAAGTAAAGGCAGAGATGAAGAGGAAGAAGAGGGTCCGTTTCCCGTGAGTGAGAAGCCAAAATGATTGCTCGACTCCGCGCTGCCTTTGCTTTAGACCGTTGCACGCTTTGCTTTCGACCCTGCGCTCTTCTTTTTGGTCTGGTTTTCCCTTCCGTCTTTCTTTCTGGGTAATGGTAATCCTCTGTCTTTCCTTTTTCTCGCCGGAATCTCGTTTCGTACGCAGAATTAGCTTTGGAAAATTCGAGTTTTGTTGGGTAGCTAAAGCCTAAAAAAGAGCGTCGTTCATGACAAAGGGCCGGTATCCAGCGGGATGGAAGACAGGCACAGAAGAGCAGAGTCGTCGTGAAACGACATTGCTCTGCCTCCAAACGGCACACAACAAAGCTTCTCTTATCAATTTCGGATAACAAAACAAGTGTATTTAATTACATATTAATAATAATAACTCCTTCAGTCGTTAAATGCCAATTCTAATTGCGACTATCGATCCGATATGAATAACAGTATAAGATAAATTAAATAGATACTGTTAATTGATAATTTAATGGACTGTTTTTTGACTTATGTCGTTGTTTCTTGCCACGTCACTTCCATGTAATATCATATCAGATCTAGAATGTTGATGTTCCTTAATGATTTCTTAATCTACCAACCAACCAAACCCACTAAATTCCTTAATTTGGAATATCAAGCTGTTCAATTACTGAAACTCCTCCAAAAGAAATATAAAAACATATGAATATTTAGTTGTGGTCATTCCTTTGAGGTGTCTTTGTTATGAACCTTACATAGCCAGCCTGGAGCCCAGAAACAAAAAAGGGGAAAAATCAAGGCTTGGATCTGAGCTTTCTGCTTCTTCCTCCTCCCCGTTCTATTTTTTCTAATGGAGTAGAGCCAAGTCTGTTCCTATACTTGGAGTTTTTCCATTGTTTTTCTGCTTAGTTCTGCTAAAAATGGATTTTGGATCCACAATTAGAGTTGTTTTTTGTTGGATTTGGAGGTTATCTAAGAATCATTACCGGTGCGTGCCGAGGTTTGCTAGGTAAGAATGAGAGATATAGGTCACTTCAATAAAAAAAATTTAAGTATAAGTCTTATAGAATAAAATCAAGAAATATTTTTTTTTTAAAAAATTCTCTCTCTAAATTCCTCATGTTCTTGTGTCTTCTCTGGTAGATCCTCGCTGATCAAGGCTACTCTCTCATCGGCTAACCCTCTGATTGGGGGAGAAGTGTCTTGGGCACAACTGTTCGATGTAGCACCTACGAACCGGATGCAATATCAACCTCTAGAGAAAGTGAAGGATTGTTTTAGACTACCCAGTGAGGTGAAAAAGAGCGGCTAGGTGGGGTGGAAAGGTTGTTTAATTGGGCACTTCGTTGGACCTCTTACCAAGCTTGCTCTTCTTCAGCAATGGGCGACTGGTTTGTGGGGAAGAGATGGAGAGGTTCGGGTGTCTCGATTTGGCCCGAGACTATCGGTTTTTCAATTTTCTTGCAGTAACGAGTAAATGGGTGTTTCAATCGATCCCATGGCATTTTCAGGGGAATCATATCTTCTTCTGAAAGTGGGAACCGAGAATTCAGCTTGTCACGCCATTGGTTGAGACGCTTCCTATTTGGGTACGTATATGTATGATTCCACTTGAATACCACTCATTTGAGGGTCTCAAATGGGTAGCTCGTATAGTTGGTCTTCTGCTCTGGATGGATAAAACAACTAGAGTAGGAGATCAACTAGGATTTGCAAAAGTCTGTGAAGATTTAGCGACTGACTGTGAGTTTCGTACCCATGTAAGACTCTATCAAGATGAAGATCCACCATTTGAAGTTGAGGTTGAATACTTAAACAAACCTATTGTATATCATAGTGTGAGATATATATGGACATGACTGTACTCATTTTGCTGCTAGTGGGAAGAAATGGGTTCCAAAGGCTCAAGTAGAGGTAGTTTCAGTAACTGTATCTCAAGATGTAGCTTGTTAGTATGTTGACGGGAATGGAAACCAGGTTGAATCAGTTGGGAATGGGGTTACTAATGATGTGGTATATGTTAACAATGATAAGTCGATGCATGTGAATGAAATGAAATTTAAAGGTGGTTAAGGGGGTGATCCTCCCAAGGTGAACCCCAAATGTGCTCCTTCTACTCCCGGAGGCTTCATTATCCAAAGCATGAGATCTGACGCCGTCTGGATAAGGACGTAAAATAAAACGCTTGTTGGGAGTCAATCAATGTAGGTTTGTGTTTATTTTCCTTGTTTCCCTCTTTTTGTGTGTGTTTGAGTCAAGTGTGTGAGTGTTAAGTGCAATATATGCCCATGGTTGCTTTGAATTGGTCATTGTATGTGTTGTGTTTGAGATTGGGGCACAAATGGGTCAATCACGTAGAAAATGGACCGAAACGGCTTTTCTATTTGATTCCAGCTCCTGAGGGGTTTTGATGTTTCGATGAACTTTTGCCCACCCAAATCGAAAATCAAACACATTCTCATCATCCCTTTGCTCACTTAGGCACACCTTTGCTAGAGTTTTAGGGAGTTTTGGCAATGATTTTGTCACCAACGACGAGGTTTCGGCGAGGTTCATGCGTGGAGTACGCCAACGTAGAGATCATGCTAGCCAATAACACACCATGTAAAACTCTTGGGATTGTTCGAGGCCTAAGCACCCAAGTGGGTCCGTTCATTTTCTTCCCTGACTACCTTGTGATTGACATGGAGATAAGCAAAGAGTATTCAACCCTCTTTGGAAGGCCATTCGCCCATTCCTAGTCACTACTAGAGAAAAAATTGATATTGTTAATGGAGAAGTAACCCTGCACGAAGGGAAACTATTGCATAAAGTGGAGAAACCAATCAAAAGAAGTGATGAGCATGAGGAGTATAAATAAGAGAATCTAGAAAATGAGGACAAATTTTTATTCTCAACTCATCTTGATGATTCGACAAACATAATAGTTCATCACCATGATCTAGAGCCAAAGTATGGAGGATAGTTGAACAAGGTTCCACCAATTCCCGCTCTCAAGGAAGCTAAAATGACATTGAGGATAGGCAATACAAGGTAAATACGATGCTTGAATGAATCGATGAACTGGAATATGAGGCAACAAAGGAGTATCAAGAGTTTATCAATCAACATCAACCCAATGGATTCAACAATCATATCCGTGCTACGAGACGGGAAGATGAAGATGAATGACACTTGGTGAAAATATCAACTAAAAGGGAACCTAGCTGAGCCTAGCTCAAAGGCATAAAAGAGAGAGTGCTCCATGGGAGGAAGGCCATGTATGGCGTTACACTTAATAACTTTAACTAAATGTGCTATCGCATAGACATCCCTGATTTCTCTTTTCTAGATTAGCTTTTCAATTTCAAAGTTTGTTTTTGGCTTGAAATTTTTAGTTACTCATTGGAGGAAAACATTGTATCCTTTGGATAGGTGTTACAATTGGAGCAAATTTCAATCTTATGACGGGAATAAAGAATTTTAAGACGTGAAAAATAGAACGAAACCAACTTTCATACTATCGAGATAAAGTGTTCTAACGCAAAAATAATGGTATCCCAAGAAGAACGCGTGAGGAAGCCATGGCGGTGCCCACCGCTGCAGCACGGCCGCTCCCCCTTCCCCTATACAAGGCCAAATTTCGGCCATGCACATCCCACTCACCTTCATTTTTCATTTTCCCTCTCTCTAGCTGAAAATCCTCTATCTTCTCTCTAAATTTCAAAATTTCTCCAAAAAATATAAACTTCCAATCACCAAATCCACCTCCAAATCTAAAAAATTTTCACCTCAAATTCAGAACACAGCCTACCCAGCACCTACTAAACAAAACCCAGTCAAACAAAATTTCAAAAGCTCAACGGAGGAGCAATGTCGGCCATATCCACCATCATAGTGTCGTCGTTCTTCTTCGTTTTCTCATTTTTCTGCAAGTTTCTTCAATCCAAGTAAGTACCCATGATCTCTAGATGAATTTAGGAGCTTGAACATGAATTTAGTACTTCGATTGAGGATTTCAAAGTTTATAATTGCATTAGATTGATTGGAGAGTCTTTTGTAATATTTGGCCACTATTAGGCGCAATCGATGCTTTTAAATGAATGTTGATTACTTATATGCTTAGAAAATGCATAATGCTTATGATGTTTTTTTCACGAATGTATGCTTGGATGGATTGATGAAATTTAACAAAGGTCATGCCAAAACTAAAAAAAAATTAGCATTGTACATTTTCACATTGAGCTTATAATGATATAAAGCTATGCTACATTTTCACATAGCACATTTTCACTTTGCTTAATCTTATAACTTGGAGCTTTCAAAGTTTTTAAGATTTTCAAGATATGTTCTTCATGTTACTTCTACTTGTTGACCTATAATACTTCTTATTTTTTCATGAGATTCCATGATGAATGAAGTATATGAAGTACTTTTATTGATAATATGCAATTGATAAGTTATATGATTAGCTTATGAAAGAAACCATGCTCTTAAAGTGTGAGGTTATCCCTTATGTTCTATTCTAATTTAGCTTCTTTTAGACAGAAAAATGTCGAGTTCCTTCTCATGGTTAGGAAGGAATAAGAAGAATAAATGAGACGATTGAGCTCTTTCATCAAGAGGGCCGATGCATCCTAGTCCTCCTAGAGTAGATCCAGAGCCTATAGCACCATGACAGTCTGCATGACTCAACGGGAGGAAGCCGACAATCGTGATTGAGGAGGAGGATTCTTCGAGTGATTCGAGTTCAAAATCCCTCTTTGCTAGGAGATCCTTGAGTCATACCAGTGGAAAGCTATCTATTGATAGCAGGAGATCAAATAGTAGAAGTGGA